ATTGAAATGGATTAAGCAAAATTGAAATTCTTATCTTTCACTTTTGCTTAAATATGGGCCACTTTTTTAGCTTTTTCTTGCTTAGCAGTGTCAGATTTTGTAATATTGCTGATTTGAGTATGTATGCATGCATGTGTGTATATATGTGTGCATGCATCCATGCACGTGTAAATACGTTTTTTACATATGAGCGAGTAAACAGGATGAAATGGCAATAACTGTAACCTGTCTAAGTGTATCAATGTGTGTGTTGACGTGTATGCGCAAACGTATATAAGTGCACACGTTTGTACATATGCACGTTCGCACATGCACATGTTTGTACATGTGCACGTTCGCACATGCACATGTTTGTACATGTGCACGTTCGCACATGCACATGTTCGTACATGCACACGTTTGTATGTGCTCAAGCAATAGTTCGTAACGAAGCGTTTGTTAAGTGTTTTTTTTTCTTTTCTTTTGGTAAATATCGTTCATCTTATTTATCAGTAAAAATTTGATTGTTTGGTATGCGATGAATATTGAGAATTTCACATGATAATAGGAAATATTGGGAGATTATGAAATCAGTGATTGATCAGTAATGATCCCTAATTCTTTCTCAAATTTTTTCTCACTCAATTGATCAAACTCTGAGGATGAGATTAATCGGAACGGTTCGATGATTTGCATCATTGGGTGTTTTCATTCCAAAGACTAACACATCATCGCCTATTGGCGCCATTGGATGTGCAAATACTTTATTAAATATTCTAGTGATAAAATGTCGGAGCAACATGAGTCATTCTCGAGGATTTCAAAGTATCGATTTTCAATTCAATACATCATCATGTAAACTGTATGGGTACATAATAATAATAACAATAAACTGGATCAATAAACAGGTAAATAGTTCGATTTGCAATCATATTTGAATGAAACCTTATAGTTTTATTAAATCGAAATAATCATTTATGATATGATTAGGAAAATGCTGAAAGAAAATGAAGGAAATGGTAAGTTCGTCGAATGAGTTAAACTGATTTGTAACATTTTATCTAAAAATCCTGGGAAAGAAAAAAAAAAAATCCTAAAAAATTTTAAAACACTTCCTTCTTTTTTTTTTTTCCTTCACAACATTCATACAATCAATTTCTATTATATTTGTAATGTATTTAGGTTTCCAAAAAATTCCACCTTCATTTTCCATTTTCTCTTCGTTGACAAAAAAAAAAAAGTGAATAATGTCATCTAACAATATTGATGATTGCTTAATATCCAAAATTTTTAACGATCATTTCTAAGTTTAAATATTTGAATAGAATTGGATATGTACAAAAATCATTTGTGTGCTGCTAATAATTGTTGTCAACCTTTTATGTCATTTATTGTCATAAAATACTTCGGAATTTTTTTCTCTTTCCTTTTTCTCTCTTTTTTTTTTAGTATTGATAAGTTTTGAATACGGACGAATATTTAACAGTTAATATCCACTTTAGGCAACTTTTAGATGATTAAAATTCTTTTTGCCCTTTTTTATGAAAAAAGAAAAAAAGGCTTTTTTTCCTTAATTGACATGAAATTTATTATTTTTAATGATAATAACGGATAAAGTTATAAGCTTTGTTTTAGGAAGGAAGCATAAAATTGATGTTTAATGGTTAATTAGCTTAATTACTCTCATCTAATTGGTAAAAAAATTAAGACAGAAAAGAAAAGAAGTAAATGTATAAATTTTGTTGATTGCAACATTATACCTTAGCGTTTTTTTTTCCTTTTTTACATATTATTTGTTTGAATTATATTTTTTGATTTCTTTTTTTCTCAGGAAATTTTTCCTTTTCTCTTCTCTTTATTACATTCATCAACTTTTTAAGAAACGAAATAGGAAAGGAGGAAAAAAAAGGGAAACATTGTTTGAAATGGAACATATTTGCTTGTTTGTTTGTTGGCTTATCTAACAAATTTATAAAAATCTTTTCACATTTCTTTTTTTTTCTGCAACTTTTTTTTTTGGTTATCTTTTTTGCGAACTTTAGTTGTGGTTGACAAATGTAAATGACGGACTGATAAGTTATCATCAAGAAGTGATATATGAATGTATCCATATGTTTGTGATGACATTGGATTCGTGCAAATGATTGATACTGAAAGCGATAAGAATGTCTCATCATTCCATATGCACTATTATATTTGCATTTGCAAATTTAAAATTGAATTTTTTTACCTTCAATAAATTTCCATCGCAATAATTAATTTTAATTTTCTAAACAAAATTTAATGTTACAGTTAAATCGAATTGCAGTATTACATTCGAATACTTTTTGTACCTTTTTTTTTTAAAAAAAAAAAACTTAAACATTTAACTCGACCTTTTTCTTCCTTTCTTTTCTTTCTTTTTTCGCTTCTTTTTTTTTTCGTTAAAATTTACATCTTTGTTTTCCAATTTTGGCATACATTGGAAGTCATCTTGAACGGTTTTAATTTTAGAATAATTCAACAATGTCGCATATTTCCTCTTCATCTAACAATAACATTTCTTTTTGATTGTATCACGAACTTTTTTTTTTTCCAGTCTTGACATACTTTGACAATTTCCTGAACTTCAACACTTCGCAATTTTCTATTTCTTTCTATTTTTTTTTTCTTCCCTCTTCCCTATGCTGTTTAAGTTAATATAAAATGAACAGCTCTTTTCATCATTTCCTTTCGTTTTTTTTTTTTTTAACATTTGATATCAAAGTTTTTTTTTTCATTTTTATGTTAACATACATATTTTTATGGTTTAAATGAACATTTGTATGAATAATGAAGAAAGTATTACGAATTGTCTTCAAGCGTTTGCCATTTTCAATATTTTAATATCTTTTCATATAGTTACGGTAATATCTAAAATTTCTTAAGCTTCTTTCATTTTTCTTCCTCTTTCTTTCACTTCTGAAAAATAAAGATTTATTAATTCATGATTAATTTTCAAAATTTAGTTTTTAATATTTCGGAATTATGGATGACTAAGATAACAATTTATCTAATTAAGCTAACACAAAAGAAAAGAACATTTTTGGATTTCAATTAGTTATGAGTAATTAAATCTGACATTATTCATTATATGAAGATAAGAAGGTGCTAAAATTATCAATGATTATGATAATTGAATGATGATTCATCATCCTCATACTTCCCATCCGATATTGCTATCACGGCAATGCGTCATCTTGAAATTGGAATGGCTCATCGCCAATAAGTTTTCTTAAAATCATTTTAATGGTATATTTCACATTTCTATATTTAAAACAACATTTAAGAGGCATGAAAAATCGAAATGTACACAATGGAATGAGAAGTGGTATAGGGAGGTGGAAGTGGTGGGGGAGGAGGAGATGGGGGTGAGAGGGTGAAGCGGAAAGTGGAGATTTTCCGCCTCCAAAAAGGACACGATGGAAACAATTGAAATTGGCTGCAGTGCTTCCAAACCTATGGCAAACACCGTTTATTTTTTCCCCTTTCCCCCGCTCTCCCCGCCCTTCCTCGTCCCCTCCTCTTTCATTTTCCCCTCCCATTAACTTTGTGTCATTTGTCGCGAATCAAGTTTTGTTTTTTTCTCTCTTTTGCCACTTTTCCAATTCATCCATTCATTCATCCCTCATCGTCTTTTTAACATTCGAGGGTTAAGGTCGAGGTCAAAATTATTTCTGATTATACACTCCAAAATCATCCATCTCTCTCTCTCTCTCTCTCTCTCCTCTCTCT